AGGGTACACCACCCCGTATTCAAAATCATTTGCCGGTCCGTAGGGAAAGGGCCAAGTTCAAAAAACCGCTGTTTCTCTTGAAAATTAACAGAAAGAAATGTGTAGCTCATTTATTAAGGGTTGTGCCGCAACGAGACCACCTGAAAACGGTGTACAGATGAGAAGGGTACACCACCCCGTATTCAAAATCATTTGCCGGTCCGGAGGGAAACGGCCAGAATCAAAGAACTGTCTTTTTACCTAAAATTAGACAGAAAAAAAATCCCCCTCAATTTGTTAAGGGTTGTGCCGCAACGAGACCATCTGGAAACGATGTACAGATGACAAGGGTACACCATCCCGTATTCAAAATCATTTGCCGGTCCGTAGGGAAAGGGCCAGATTCAAAAAACCGCAATTTTACCTAAAATTAGACTGAAAACCGAAAAACAACTGCATATTGGTTTATTTTTTTCAGGCAAATATTTAGTGAAAAAACGATTTTTGTACTTGGTCTTTTTTCTCCGGACCGGCAAATGATTCTGAATACGGGGTGGTGTACCCTCGTCATCTGTACATCGTTTATCGCTGGTCTCGTTGCGGCACAACCCTAAACAAATTGGAGGCAATTTTTTTTCAGTCTAATTTTAGGTAAAATGACAGTTTTTTGATTCTGGCCCTTTCCCTACGGACCTGCAAATGGTTTTGAATACAGGGTGGTGTACCCTTTTCATCTGTACATCGTTTCCAGATGGTTTTGTTGCGGCACAACCCTTAACAAATTGGTGGCGATTTTTTTCTGTCTAATTTTAAGGTAAAATGACAGTTTTTTTTATTCTGGCCCTTTTCCTACGGACCGGCAAATGGTTTTGAGTATGAGATAGTATACTCTAGTTGCCTATATGTCATTTCCACTTGGTGTGGTGGCGGTACAACCCTTAATAAATGAGCTACAGTTTTGTTTCTGTTAATTTTTACGAGAAACAGCGGTTTTTTGTTCTTGGCCCTTTTTCTACGGACCGGCAAATGATTCTGAATACGGGGTGGTGTACCCTTCTCATCTGTACACCGTTTCCAGATGGTCTCGTTGCGGCACAACCCTTAACAAATTGGTGGCGGTTTTTTTTCAGTCTAATTTTAGGTAAAATAGCGGTTTTTTGATTCTGCCCATTTCCCTACGGACCGGCAAATGATTTTGAATACGGGTTGGTTTACCCTTGTCATCTGTACATCGTTTCCAGATGGTTTCGTTGTGGCACAACCCTTAACAAATTGGTGGCGGTTTTTTTTCAGTCTAATTTTAGGTAAAATGGCGGTTTTTTGAATCTGGCCCTTTCCCTACGGACCGGCAAATGATTTTGAATACGGGTTGGTTTACCCTTGTCAGTAGAGGTAGAAGGGGGTTTCACCATCAGTGGAGCAGTGGAGCAGAGCGCACGGCGCATGCGCGAGGAGTGGGGGTACAGCGCATGCGCGAGGAGTGGGGGTACAGCGCAGGCGCGAGGAGGAGGGGAGCTGTCAAACCTCAAACGTCATATGTCAAACGTCAAACGTCAAACTTGTCATCTGTCAAACGTCAAACGTCATATGTCAAACGTCAAACTTGTCTTACGTCATCTGTCAAACGTCAAACGTCATATGTCAAACGTCAAACCTGTCTTACGTCATCTGTCAAACGTCAAACGTCAAACGTCAAATCGCGAGGAGGAGGGGGTACAGCGCAGGCGCGGCGAGGAGGAGAATACAGCGCAAGCGCGAGGAGGAGGGGCACCTGTCAAACGTCATCTGTCAAACGTCAAACGTCAAATGTCAAACGTCAAATGTCAAGCCTGTCTTACGTCATCTGTCAAATGTCAAACGTCAAACCTGTCTTACGTCAAATGTCAAACGTCAAACGTCAAACCTGTCTTACGTCATCTATCAAACGTCAAACGTCAAACCTGTCTTACGTCATACCTATTATATACAGGGTGTTAATGAAAAACAAACGCAAATTTTTATTATTTATTTTAAAGTATGCAATACATTTTACTTTTTGATATTTTGGCGCAGGTACTAAATACTATTATAGCAGATGATATAAACGTCATAATTATATACAAAATAGAACTATATATGAAATCACTGTAGGTTCTTCCTTATCCTTTTTACACGTCTGATTTTTCATGGTTGAACTATCGTTAAAATTGATGGCTAGCATCTGCCAATCAGATTGATCTCCAACACTTCTATTTGAAAAAGATTACCTTATTTTATATTTTATGTTCGTCTTATTCCTAGTCTCTTCTTCCGATAATGGACGTTTGAAAACTTCCACCGATCCGTTATTGCTATATTTCAATCTCTGCCAAGCTTCTGGCCATTTACACTTCGTTGTAGAATCATTGTTTTTAAACATACGAAAGCTTCAATAACATCTTTTCGGTTTTATTTATATAGAATGTATTTTGCACTATAACGGCTTAAATATAATAAAAGCTGAACTTAACGCCGCCATGTCCTGGATACTGAATGACTGTTAAGCTATGTTGGAGAGAATATAAACAATCTCGGCATCTTGCTTGAGAAGGGGGGAGGACCGTCAATATGAGTCCTTGATCAGGTCTGTTGTGTGAATAAAACATGGCAATTGCGTTTGCAAATAGAAATTATTTTTGTATTCGATAGGAAGTCGAGACCATATATTTAAAAGCGTATAGGGGCTAATATGCTCTGCTAGAAATTCTACAGACAGTGCTTTTAACTCCTCTGTAGTATATTTTGCCAAATCCAAATACATGTTTACTTTTCAAGTGGTTAAATAATACTAAAGAATAAAACGTTAAATTATTATTTTTATACATTTATTCACAACAGTTACAAGGTGTTATTTTTACAAGTAACTCTAACCTATAATTAGCAATAAACTTTTGATTTAAAAAATTATGCGTATATCGTAGGGCGAGTCATCCAAACAAATCATTTAGTATGTTTATGGGAGATCTTCAATTCTAGAAGTTTCGAAAACATATACTGTTTCTCTTCGTAAAATTTTATAAGTTCTTTTAATTGTTGTAAATTAGCCAAATGTTTCTCTAGTAAAAAATTTATATCTTCGGTAGACATCTTTCTCCTTTTACACATATTTACTCTTCAAGTGTTTAAATAATACTAAAGAATAAAGCGTTAAATTATTATTTCTATACATTTATTCACAAGCGGTAAATACACATATGAGTTGAAAATCATTTTTGAGTTTATTTGGATTAATTTCTAGAAATTCCAACATATAATATGATAATTCACAAACATTTAAATAACAATATTTTTTAATTTCTTCCAAACAATTTTCTTCAGAGACATTACAAGCTCTAATATAATGTAAAAGATTATCGTAAAAAGGTCTTAAGTCTAATTTTACAAGTAACTCTAACCTATAATTAACAATAAACTTTTGATTTAAAATTAATCGAATGTCTTCCATAGTGAAACAAAACGGTACATCAAACACATCACTGTAATTATCCACTCTTCCAGGAATTTGCTTGCTTTAACGGTGAAATTTTCAGATAGGGGCTTGAACAGTTTTCTCCATTTCTCATTGTCAGGTACCAAAATAAATGATGAAGTAATGTTCAAAAACTCAGACAATCCGAGTATCGTCAAAGAGTTATCAATGGATTCATTGGGTAGGTTGAATAATTTGTTCACAATTTTAACTGTAGGTATCAAACCTCTCGCGATACTTATTCCAGCAACAATATCAAAGTTCTTCGTGGGATAACACGTTTCAGCCAACAATCTGCGTTCTTTCTTGATTTCCATATTACTTCGTAAAACCATACTGTTTAGATACTCGAAATAATCTGGTGAGGAACATGATGATGAATTTGAGGTTATGTCTAGCGCTTCCATCTCGACATACGCACAAACCGGTGTCTTGACGATTACTAATCGATCGTATACGTTTTATTTCCTTCCCCTACCACCACCATCAAACTAATTTATTTGTTTAAACTTGTTTATATTCAATTCTAAAAATAGAATCTTACGTAACGACCAGCCGCTATCTCTTTCCTGGAAAGCACCAGATTTCGTCACTAAGACTTGTTTAAACTCGTTGAATACTTCCTCCAGATTTGTATTTTCGTAAACAACATCATATCGGGAATTAAACGATTTAATATCTTCTTTCGTTTCAGATCCTAATATGTATGAACAAAATAATTCCATATTGAATTTGATGGAGGTATGAATCGATATATGTTCCTGAAGTAAACGTACAATAGTATCTTTAAGAGCATCTAAATATAGGATAATATTATTCGGATGTGATTCAGAGGTTATCCTATAAGATTTAATTCGATTTTTAAAAGCACACCTAACAAGCTGAATTCCAGGTTCTAATTCTACACAACACTGATTTTTATGTTGATGACTTAAACAGTGGAAATTACACTCCTTACACAATGAATGCATTTTGAATACTGAAGAGGTTTAGACAATGTCTTTACTTTTATCAATCCAACTATTATGTGATTTGTCGAATCCTAACCACTTGACTAGAATTTTATTTCCTTTCTTTTTCAACACTTGCTCTACAAGATAGATTTCAGGTTGTTTAGTTTTCTGTAATTCTTCTTCGTAAAATCCACCGCTGATGGGATTACCTTGATAATCTTCTAAAAGGTACGTTACAGGGTTTGTAATTTTTACTTTAGATGCTGAAAAGCTCAGTGGTCCAATTTGGCGTATATCCTTTTCAAAGATGTTTCTGTTTGAGATTCTAACGGTATCGCCAACTTTAAATTCTGATTTTCCCGCTACCTTAATATGACTATAAACGCCATCTAGTATTAGTTTCTTCTCACTATTACTATCCACATTCTTCGGTTTCATTCCAATGGTTCTGTGTTTCGTATCGTTGTAGTCTTCTGTAACTTTATTTTAGTAATTCCAGCCATTTATGGTTCCCATTCAACGTAAACGATCACAAACAATTTTTTCCTTAATAGTGCAATTACGTTCAGCTATAGAGGCTTTCAAAGGCTAAAAGTACTGTAGTGTTGGATCTTGTATTTTTTCATCAAATTTTGAAACTGACTGTTGTAATACTCTTTGCCATTATCCGACACCAACTTTTTAGGAATTCTGTTTGAAGATTTCAATATGATTTCCATGGCCTTAGTAATGTCTGGTGCAGATTTTGATTTTACAGGTTTTGTCCATAGATATTTGGAAAAACAATCAATCACAACCAAGATATATTTATAGCCCTTATTCTCTCGAGAATATTGATCTAATTGAGCAAGATCGGTGGCAAAAGTATCGTCTAAACCATACTGAATAAATCTTCGTCTTTTGAATTTAATACGAGCGGGTTTATGAAGTTCCCTAACGACTTGTTCTCTAGAACCCATCGCTTTGTCTAACGAAATAGTGCTGGTATATGTGTATTTATATTTTATTTTGGGTTAGAATTTTTTTTACTTAATAATAAATCTTCAAGGACACCTTTTACATCACCCAAATCGTTTGATAAATCGTCTATTTTCTGGTTTGTTATTGTCTTAAACGAATCAAGCACTCTCTGATATTGTGCTGCTATATCCGTATCAATGTTCTGTATATCATGCTCAATGTTTGATAGTTTAGAATTGATACTATCCAGTTCTAGACGTTTAGCCTTATTAGTTTTTCAATCACCGTATCTGTATAATTCTTTTATTGCACTTTCCAGATATCAAGATCTATATGCAGTTTCTTGACTATCTCATCCTCTAAAGTTCCAAATTTCTTATCCATATCCGTTAGACGTGTTGAAATTTTTGAAAACGTCTCCTGTAAGTCTATCTCTAACGCTTCTAATCTTTCGGCAAGAACACTGTTAAATGCGTTTATTGTTTCCATAGAACGAGCTTGAAATTTTATCTCTTCGCGGACTTTCCCTGCTAGCTCATCAGTATATCGTTTAGTCGATACATCGCTCTCTTCTGTAGGGTCTTCAACATTAGTTATTTTTCGATTTTCAAAATCATAATCTCCTTCAGGTGTGTGGGAAAATTCAGGTTGAGGGTGTACTAACCTTCGCTTGGAAGATAAAGACCATCCGAACTTGTTCATGGTTGAAATAATAATGCTCAAATATCTAGTATAACACTTTATTTATAGGTTCAACTACACCTAGTTCTAACAATTCTTCAAGAATACTCATTATTTCATTCGTATGGTTTCCGTTTCCTGCTGTTTGAGAGGCATCCAGTTTACTTAATCTATCCACCAACTCGTTGACGTCATCATAATAAATATATTCTTTAGGTTTTTCATTATACTCAAGTAGTGCGGATCCAGATTTAGTTTGCGATCTGGTTTTAGGGATTTTCTGTGCTATATTGCTGGCTGATGAATGCCTAAGTCTTGAACCTTCAAGCGAAGCCGAAGATGCAGCTGTAATCAATGGTTTAACGAAATCCCTATATTTCACAGATTTACTACCTCTCAATTGTCCCAATGGACTAAAATCTCTTTTGTGAACGTTGGTTTGCTTCAATATTTTCTGAAATTGAACTCTATCGTTTTCAGTAAAGTGCATAGGTTTCTTTAGAAATAACAATTCATATAAACCACGATTTCCTTTGTAAATAGAATCGCCTACTCGTATATCACCATTTTGAAGAAAATCCACTTTTTCCGTCCCCATTTTCCAAGTTTCAGTTGGTGCATTATGTTGTAAACCATACGTATGATCTATTTCATCGGAATCTATAAAGTACTTATCGATAAATTCATGTGCTATTTTTGGATACTGATCCAAGTAGCTCTTGTACACTTCAGTTTGTTCTAGAATTGATTTTTGAAGATCTTCGTTAGCATCTTTAAATGCTTGTAGTGATTGTACTTCCATAAAAACATTATCATCATCATCATTATCACTGTTTCCAGACTTCTCCGCAATCATTTCAGTCGGCTGGAATTCAACATACTTTTGAGAACTGCGTTCAGGTTTCGGCTGTTTCTTTATCGATGATGGTGGTGTTATCTTTTCCATCTTTACAATTTCCTCTTCCTTGTTCTTTATTGTTCTGTCTGCGAGTTTATTTAAGGGTATAGTTATAGGTCCCAATATTCTATTTAGAGTTTCATCTCCCTCATCACGTTCTAATTTCAAGGCTAGATGTTTTTTTCGTATATGTCTAGCAGCATTTATAATCTTTCTCTGAACTTCTCGCTCATCTTTTGTTAATATTTTAGGCATTTCGAACTCGATCTTCTGTTTCAATCAGGGCCGTTCAATCAGGTCCGTTCAATCAGATCCGTTCAATCAGGTCTGTTCCACAATCAAGGCCTGTTTCAATCAGAATCTGTTTCAATCAGGTCTGTTTCCAATCGGGTCTGTTTCAATCAGGTCTGTTTCAATCAGGTCTGTTGCAATCCGGATCGTCTGATACTGAGGTGTATCCTCGATCAAGGACTCTTACATACTAACCATTAAACTATGTTTATGGTATTATATAGGTATTAAATCTGCTTCGGTAACGGCCTTTGTGAATATCACAGTCTTTAACAATAACAAGAAATCCATATTTGTCTTTCCAACATTCCAGCAGAACATATATCCTTAAACATGTTTATCGACGTATCACTGTATTTACGTGATCATCATACGTACTTGCCTAAAGATTAGTATCATCTTAGCTTGAAAAGAGTATTATATTAGCATTATCTCGAACCAATTGTTTAGGGATCTTTGAATAGGTCTGACAGAGGTAAAACGAGTCGAAGTTGCATTGTGACGACCACATGCAAAAATAATTTCTAATTTTATCTTGTTTCTCTAAGCTACATCATCGAATATGAAGACAGAGTCAGGTTTGGCGTTTTACGGGATCAATACACTATCGTTATCGCGCTGTATCCGTAATGTAATTAACACCTTTAATACGATCAAAACCTGTTGCAAAAATGTGTATTTGTCTTGAAAGACTTTGAGTAAACATACGTTCTCAAACCGAGAGATCCGTTTGGATCTGTTAAAAGACTTAACATCACATTCGTTTTCCTGAATTACTGGGGCCACAGATTATAAGCCCTTATAGTAGTATTTGGTAATAGATCGCTATGTCGATTTCTAGCATCACCCTATGCGATATCGAAATTACAAACATTAATATCGATTTTCTGTTTAACTTTTCTCATTTTTTTCACATATATACGATGTTTATTCGATCACGTCTTCAGTTGTAATGAGAACGTCAAAGGGTAAAAGGTCTCTTAAATAGGGCTATCAATAAATTACCATTTGAACTTCATTTACCTGGTTACCAGTATTGTGGTCAGGAACAAAGCTTGCTAAACGATTAGCTAGAGGAGATCCATAAACAAATTAGATCGAGAGGCGTGTAAGGGCACGATATCGCATACTCGAAAGAAAGGATTTGAATCGACGACATCAAGCCGATATAAAGTGTTGGAGGAAAAAGCGTGGGAAAGAGTTAAAGCTTTGGATTCTAATATCGGAGAAAAAGTGCTGCGTGGCTTGTTACAAACGCAATGAAAACAAAACGAAGCTTGGTATGGGTGTTAAGCGAAAACCCTTCAAATCTTTATTGTTAATAAAGTGAAGAGACATATTAAACATTATGGTAATGGCACCCTCAAGGATAATATTAAGAGCTAGCACTGAGGAGCTGCTCATGAGTGTTAAACAAGCTGGTGGAAGAAGAAAGAGTTAAAGCTACCTAGAGTTATACCAGTACCTAAGTCGGAGGCATTTTACCTCTTATTCCACTCTTCGCGGGTCTAAGTGCTTTGGGAGGCTCTTACCGGGCGCTGCCTCTGTCGCTAAAGCTGTTCAAGATAGCCGAGCGGCAAGAGATAAATTAAAGGAATCTCAACGACATAACGAAACCATGGAAGCCATTGCGTTGGGTAAAAGAGGAAGCGGATTATACCTTGCCAAACACAAGACGGGATATGGATTATTTCTTCCAGAAGCAATCACCAAAAACTTCCAATAAAATACCCAATCGACCTTTGTCTAACCTAGATATACAGAAATATGTAAAAAAGAAATTAAAAATTGTCAACTGGAGGAGTATTTATGCAGGAATGCTCTACCACAAACACCTAGAACGAACGAGTGCGGTGTTGTAAATTTGGACGAGATTGAAGGAGATGGAACTCATTGGGTAGCATATAGAAAAACAAGGGATAAAGTTGTGTATTTTGATAGTTTGGAAATTTAAGCCCACCAAAAAGGGGTGTTCGATATTTCAAGAAATGTAAAAATATATTATAATTACGACCGAGTATCAAACATATAATGCCTATGGTGTGGTCATCTTTGCATTTATACTTTCTCTATAATAATAAATAGTTATAAAAGAACATGTGTTTAATTTCACGCTCAGTCATGTCAGACATTCACACTGAAAGGTCGTTCTAGCTGTTTAAGCGTGGATATTAATCCTCTAATAGAACTCGATTCTAGATACAGTTATTCTCTGGCTCACTGATATCTCTCAGTACCGCAGAATTCAATACCGAATATCCAGACAGGGTCGAAATAAGTTTCATTATTCTGTAGACGGTATAAAGCAAATGATTAGAAATTCCAACAGGATCTTACGAGATTACCGACATTTGAAGAGTATTTGCAAAAGAGCTAAGTTTGAAGAAGTAAAACCGTTATAAAGTTACACCCTAATAATAATACACTAAAGTGTGAAATAAAGTGTATCTACGATATAGATTTTCAACCTGAAGATAGTGATGGAAAAACTATTAGGATTTTCACCGCAAGTTTTAGCTGCCAACAAATTGCACAAATCAGATATACCTGTGGAAATTTTTCCTGTGGTAACAATACGTATCGGAGTGCAATATCATATGGATCGTATTACATTAATAATCCATCTCATACACTGTACGAGTTTAGTCCGAGCGTAGATCCTGGCTATAGTATAATTATCGAACCCAGGAATCTAATCTACCTTCAAATAGAAATTTTATTGATAACATTACACTGGATATATTAGATCAGGAATCAAGACCAGTCAACTTTAGAGGTGAAGAATAATATTGTTATACGTTTGGAGCTTAAAAAGAATGGGTTTAACTTTTTAAACCTTACTATTTGAAATACCAGATCACAGAGCAATCAATCAGTTAGTACTTGTACTCCAGAAGCAGACGCTCACGTCTAAAGGTATACTTCAGCTTCACCATATTATCAGTAAATATGGACTCCCGTATCAGAAGAAACTACTAAATATTCCAACCGGTCAACGTAGATGAATCCATTGCTCGAGAAGAATGGCATACGTATCACCCGTTCACCAAATCATTTAAGAACAGCGATGAGATAGAAATTGTTATTAATCAGCAGGATGTGTTTATGGATATTAGCCAAGCCGAATTATACATTGAAGCCAAATTTCTGGAAGAAGTATCGACAGTTGTGAAAACAGGAAAATGTTCCTTGACAAATAACGTTGGAGCATTTCTATTTGAATCGATAACGTATGAATTGAATGGAAAAGTAATCGATAAAGTACGAGATCCAGGGCTTATAAGTACCGTTAAAGTCTTTTGTTATCCTCAATCAAAATGAAAGTACTGCCCTTGATGTGGCGGGATGGAATTGGCCGAACGGTACTGTGAAATCATATGAACCACAAACGGATAATTTCAGTCTCCTAATACCATTTGAATTTCCCTATTGAACGTCTTCTCCGATTATACTAGCGCTATTACATAGAACCGCAGAAATTAAAGCTTGTACGTGCCAAAAATTGATAATTGTTATGTTAATTCAGAGGGAAACAAGAAGCAGACATCACCATTTTGAATATCGAGTTAAAGAGTAAAACATATCTACCCGAACGATTCTGTGGAAATTAAAATTGTTTGAAGCAATTTCCAAGGACAAACCAGTATTTATTGGATTTAGGGAAATGCAGGAAATTCATGAACTACCTGCTCTGCAAAGCGAGAAAAGATGTATGAACCCAGTGAAGGCAGCATCTGAACAGGCAGAGATATGTTGTTGTATTCTTCCAAAGAAGATCGAAAGATAACTATAAAGCTGATGGCACATATTTCGATAATTTGAAAATTACAGATGTCAAGCTTTATCTAAATTCAAGACTACCCATATGAATCCCTAGATTTAAATTTCAAAACCAAGACAGTTTATAAAGCCTATTCCATGTATGCAGGATTTTCAAAAATCGTATTTGCAGGAAAGATCAATAGCGAACCTTTGCTAGATTTTACCGCTTTTGCCAGTCAGGCCCTATTTGTAATTGATTGTTCAAAACAAAACGAGGAAACTGAAAAAGTAATGATAGATGTAAAGCTAGAATTTGAGAGTTCGGAAAATTTCCCCGAAAACACCCGGCATTTTGTATCATCATATACGATCGAGTCATGGAATGTTTACCTTTATCAGGACATGTTAGAACATTAATTTAATCAGTTGCTGCAAGACATTGATACGATGAAGTTCGTTGTTATAGACGTACAAGTTTCCCATCCCCGAATTTGAGGTTAAAAGATTATCCATATACGATGGAAAAGAAATGAAAACCTATACGTTTAAAGCCGAAGATTTATTACAACCATCTGCCGATACATAAGAAGACGATAAATTATATATTTCACAATGTTCATGGAATCCCTTATAATTCAAAATTATTTACCCTATAAAGCGATGTATAACATATTACGGGAGGGAATTGGAAGGTGTCGATATGGTTTTCGTTAAAGGATCTATTAAAAGGAATTTCTGCTGCGCACATGTACAACAAGAAATGAATCTTGGTCCACCCTGTATAGTGAACTTGGAGATTTACTTCTGGACCATGTTACGAAATTAGAACAATCATACAGTAATAATTGTAATTATCATAGACTAGAAATATGTTCTTGTACTGTAAATAAATGCTCATATATTATATGATTATATTATAAACCTTTTAACTCAATAAATTTAAATCTATTAATATCTAGGATTTTTGCTTATTAGCCTGTACATTATATATATTAAGCTCATTTTACTGTAAACCATTGTCTTGTTCACATCGCTCTCATCAACTATCGTTATGGATGGAAATCAAATTAATGTATTCAGAACCATAATTAATGTAGCATTAAACATTTCCGAGAACCTGGCAGAAAAAGCAAATTATTTTCCAAAGTACAAACAGGAGAAGAAGAAGATTCAAATTGTCATATGAGAGGTTTTTCAACGTTTCTGGACTTTGTTGATGAAACCGTTAATAGTGGTTGGTGTGATAAATCTATAGAAATTGATGGGCATTTAAACATAACTTATGCTCTTGAAAGAAGAAGTGAAAGTGCTGATAATTCAAATAGGAAATGGAAAACTTATATTGATTGGGAGGATGATTGTATATTGTTATTTAAATACTGTTTACCTATTTTTTATAATTTACTAGATGAGAGAAATGTGGAAAATAAATACACAGTGAAATGAAAAAAATTGTTTTATTTAGAATACTCTAAATCATTTTTTTTTTATAAAATCAGTCTTGAACAATATAAAAAAGTTTGAAAAATGTTTTTCAGTATTACTGTTAAATACATGTGTAAAATAAATATATAATAAAAATAATTATTTATGTTAGGAAAAATTACTAAATTTGAATGCAACTATTGAAAAGCTTAAATCAAACAGTAGACATAGTATAAAACGCCTAAATTTGTATACAATATAAACATGTTAAATATAGTAAGATAAAATATATTGGATATAATACTCTAAATAGAATACACTAAAAATACAAAAATAAAATTAACCCATCCTCTTAAACATGAAAGTAACTAAATCTTAATAAATAAATAAATAAAAAAATAAATAAAATATCGAAGGAAATAGAAGTAAAAAATAGCTGCCATTGGTTTCAGCCTATAGATTTTCCGATATTTCATCCCTATATTTTCCTAGATCTTTATGGCCCCATGCGAGCGTGTACTCGGAATTGGGAATAAGAAATCTCTTATCGTCCGCGTAGGATAAGACTATCTTATTTTTTAGCTCTACATACATATTGTGTAAATGTGAACGGAAAGTGTTCATCGAGCGATAGATTTTCGTACCTGCTACATCGACCGTGTTTTTATAATCATCCAAACTAATATCTTGTTTGGTGATTCCCAATCAGGCACATACTTTGGCCTTTTTCGTTAACTTTCTGTCCACATTTACACAATATGCTTTAGCCCCAGTTCCATAAAACTCCCACAAAATTTTTCCTGCATATTCATCCTTCATACGGCCCAACACAGACGAATTTACAGGAATATCGTGTGGATTGTTTTGCGAGTAATTTGACGTATCGAATCTATCCAAATTTTCGCGCATGTCATCATAAAAATTGTCGGTTTGAATTTGTAAAATTAGAGAATCGGTGTCAGTGTAGAGCAGTGAGGCTTTATTACCGTACTTTGGTTTAATATAACTATACAAAAAATCATACATAATAGTTTTGGAAATTTCCAAAATTGAAAAACCTACGTAAATAGGTTTATTATATACGATTTTCTGTTTAGCCATATGTATTGCGACTAAATTCTCGCTAAAAATCGTCAAGTCTTTAAAATGCGGTTTGGAAATGTACGCTTCTGCCCCTAGCTTTCTACCAATATTTTCCCAGTGGGTAACTAACTTAATATTTACCCGTTTCTCCACGTTCTCCATTGTCTTTCCAAATACAGCGTTATTCATAAGTTTGAAAAAATCTTTTTCAAACTTATTTTCAGCGTTATTACGCTTTGCTGTATTTAGATCAATGTAGGTTTTCAACCAGGGAGATTGATTAAATGATAAAATGCGATGAATTTTGGCAAGTTTCAGACCATGGTTCAACGCTTGTTGTAAATTTTGATAATGAATTACATATCTAACTTTAGAATTAAAATTGGGGATTAATTTTGAAACTTTAGATCCCTCTGGTTGAACGGACTCTGGGCAAAAGGGTAATTCGTTGTGTAAATCATGTAAATGCTCCGGATACTCTAAATCGACTTCAAAAACATAACCTATATTAGAATTTTTATCGATATTCATAAAATTTAAGTTTGAAATTTCTTCTTCTGTTAGCCACGTAAAGTTACCTGTTGGTAGATATTGCGACATGGCTGCACCATATAAATTGGTAGCATCCAAGTACATAATGTAGGAAGTAGGTTTGGAAGCGTCGTATATAGACATAAATTTGTTATTCGCGATAGCTTTTCTAACACTACATTGACTGACACCGCCGCGAATCCCGTGTTTAAAGAAATGTATCATGTCTAGATCTGTCAATAATTTCAGCTCGATAGATGTAGTTTTTAAAGCCGCGTCAAAGGACAGAGATGGTGCGGTGAAGTATTGACAAGGATCTAGACCGTATGTTTGTAGACACACCTCTCTAAAATTCTCAAAAACATCAGTTAATAATAGTACGTCGGATTTTAAATATATATCTGAATATTCGCCTAAAGTTTGACATTTAAATAAATTCCATACGTTCAATGCACGCTCGTAATCTCCTTGTTTGATGGCTTCTTTTCTAAGCTCGTTATAGAAACCATCAATGGGTGGAAGCTTGGTATCGTCTAATTTGGAAAAAGAATCTGCACGTACGAATATGGGGAAAACACCCTTCATACGAATAACCTTAAATTAGCTTCTTCGTTGAAAGGAAATACTTTTCTAACCTCGCACGACATACTGCTGTGATGTTAAATTTTGACTTAGTTTATCAGGCTGGAGGCCATAAATCGAAAAACTATCAAAATCTTAATTTTAAAATAACTTTGTTGTCGCTTTTCCTAGTTATTGTCGTCATCCCCACCATAATATATTTTGTAAAAAGAAATATATCTTTCTTTGTTTGGGGAATGACGTCAATCGTTCTTCCTCCACAGCCAATTCTTTTTATAAAAGATGACTGTCAAAATTTGACATGTTGTGGAAGAACACAGGAATGAAATTAGGTACTTTAAAATTTAGATTACAAACAGAGTGAGCCGCACCTCGATAATTCCCTCTCAGATGACAGTGGTCCCTTACTCTGTCATCTTCCACATTAAAGGAGATTCACAAATATGACAGTGTGTGCATCTGATAAAACTCGGCTTCTTGTACACTACTGAGAGGAGACATGGATACAATATTTTTCATAAATCGATTGTAGATTGATTTACAATCAGTCTCTAACCAATCTATGAAAACTTTATGTGTGCATCAAGGTCCTCTAAAAGTCTTGAAAATCGACTGAGAATTATCAAAATCGCATTTATTATAATAGGCAAAGAATAAAGAACTTGATGTTGGTGTGTTTTTCACCGTATAGGAAATTTCAGGATCCAGCTCGTTTTGCTCTGTTTGTATAGGTTCCAAAATAGTTTCAAAATCAGCGTATACAACAAAAGGTACTTTTAATTTTCGTTCGAAATTCGTAAATTTAAGGATATTCTCGGGAATATTTTCACCATATTTATTTTTCTTTAAATTATCCGAAGGAGTTTCAACTACAACATGACCACAATCGTATTTTTGATGATTTTCTAATTTAATATCTGAAGAAAAACCAAGCAACCATCACACGAAGTATTTAGCAACTTTTTTAGCAGAAAGCTGCTGTGAGATTAGGCGAGACATATTTCTTATTAAACAATAATGATTATTGCCAGAATCATCACTGATTAATAACAAATTCATGTCTATCTGCCTTATGAGATCTAGTAAAATACAAAGGACCAACAACTTCAATAATATTCCTATCATGTTTATAACCCTTCTCGAGTCCATAAGCATTAATAGAAATATTATTGAGTTGTTCAATTACAATTTGTTTTAAGGATATCGGAAAATCTATACCTGTCACATCCAATTTCTGCTCAAATGAGTGGTAATTCAGGACTCTGTTAGCGTTCTGAGTCCAATGAACTGGGTGAAAGGCGGCTAAAACCGACCATACAAAACATTTCTGGTCAGTGTTTTTGTATGTTTAACACAACCCTTTTCCTTCTATTTCCTTCGGTAATGGTATATAAAGATGGAGGCTTTTAATTGGATTGATTTTATTTACCCTTATCTGCGTGGAAAGGAGTTGCTGAAGAGTCCAACCTAATGTACACGAAAAAATAAGTGAAGTATGGTGAAATCAGAAAAAATTATACTTACCACTATCTTTTTCATTGAACTCCTGGAATCTCCGCTTGATAGTGGTGAACTGATCAAACAACTCCTCCAAATAGGTGCCTGACTTGCTCCCTGAACCTAGAGCCAAAGGACTTGGTCTCCTCTACCTCCTTTGTCTGCGGGAAACGACCGAAAAGCTCCACATACCGACTTTCCATTGCCAAATCTTTCGATTTGGCTGCCCATACCGCAATACTTTTTTCGCGGAGATTAGCTAAAAAATCATTAACGCTGATGGGATCTTTTTTCGATAAAAGTCGGTATGCCATGAAATTCGGTTTAAGAGAGGTATTAACTAAGTAAACACCTTCCTCCTGCATTGCAAGTGTTCTAAAAAATACATTTTAATTTAAAAGATTGTATAAAAAATAATAATAACTTACCGTTATTGAAACCAAGTCTAGCTCTCTTTGGCACCAGAAGACTCTGGCTCCTACTGATTGACTAAAAAAAAAAAAATATTTAATATAAAATAGATGCTTTCTGTTAAAAGCCAATGAAATATATGTTAACTAGTTAATTAGTTTTTTTAAATAATTGAAAAAAGTTAAAAAATAATAGTTGAATATGTTAAAAATAATTAAATAGTTAGTTAGTTTAAAAATAATGGAAAAAAGTTAAAAATAATAGTTGAATATGTTAAAAAAATAATTAAATAGTTAATTAGTTTAAAATAATGGAAAAAAATATAAATTACTTACTGTTAGTGCAGAACTCATCCTTTTTAGGAGGTCTTCTCTAAATTTTTAGTTCAGGCTGATTGACTAAAATAGAAAAACCATTTAATATAAAAGGCCAAAAATAAAATAAAACTCACCATTAGGAGGCTCCTTTACAAATCTTCATATGCCTGCCCTAAACTATCACTTCTGCTAAAGGATTTCAAACATTTTTGGCACATATCTAAAATAAAAAGCATTTTTTAAAGCCAGAACATAAAATAAAAATATTTACTTACGTTTACTAAGGCTAGCACCCTCGTCCACGCTGGTTTGGGGCGTGGCAGTTTGAGATTTCATTGGCTAAAAATAGAAAAAACATTTAATATTGCACAATATAAAAATAAAATAAAAACTCACCATTACAAGTCTTCGCATGTCTTGTCAAATTCCTTTATAGGAAAACAATTTGCTAAGTGCTGCACAGAAACATTTTTTTTATTTTCACAGTGAAACGACTAATTTCGACGAGAGGCAAATAGAGACTGACGTGAATTGCGGAGTTGTTTGCTGGAATACAATGCTATGAGCCGGGAAACGGAAACGGGAAACCGCAATCTGAAAAACAAACGCGTGATATCATGAGTCTCGTCATGCCGGAAGCTGCAAAGTCCGATTAAAAAATAATACCGACCTGAAACTCCGATAAAGGAATAAATGTTGCACAATGTATTTTTTTTCACCAAGTTTGATTTATTTTATTTTACTTAAAAGTATTCATCACAATGATTCATCTTCTAGAAAAACAAAAGCATGACATCATGAGAGGAAGCCGTAAAGATTGAAGTATTAGATCATTTTACTGTAAACCATTGTCTTGTTCATCGCTCTCATCATATCGTTATGGATAAATCAAGTTTGATTTATTTTTACCACGTTAAATAAATATTATTATTATTTATGAATACCCAAAAGGCATTATTAATTAAAACTCAATCGTCAAACGTTAAAATTATCATCTGTGTTAAAACATGGAAAGATTTTTTTTGGAATATATACCGGGTGTGAAAAAACAATCTATGATGTAAAAAGCGTTTGTTTTTCATTAACACCTTGTATATAATAGGTATGACGTAAGACAGGTTTGACGTTTGACGTTTGATAGATGATGTAAGACAGGTTTGACGTTTGACATTTGACAGATGACGTAAGACAGGCTTGACATTTGACGTTTGACAGATGACGTTTGACAGGTGCCCCTCCTCCTCGCGCTTGCGCTGTACCCCCTCCTCCTCGCGCCTGCGCTGTACCCCTCCTCCTCGCGATTTGACGTTTGACGTTTGACATTTGACAGATGACGTAAGACAGGTTTGACGTTTGACATATGACGTTTGACGTTTGACAGATGACGTAAGACAAGTTTGACGTTTGACATATGACGTTTGACGTTTGACAGATGACAAGTTTGACGTTTGACATATGACGTTTGACATTTGACAGCTCCCCTCCTCCTCGCGCCTGCGCTGTACACCCACTCCTCGCGCATGCGCTGTACCCCCACTCCTCGCGCATGCGCCGTGCGCTCTGCTCCACTGCTCCACTGATGGTGAAACCCCCTTCTACCTCTACTCTTGTCATCTATACATCGTTTCCAGATGGTCTCGTTGTGGCACAACCCTTAACAAATTGGTGGCGGTTTTTTTTCAGTCTAATTTTAGGTAAAATGGCGGTTTTTTGATTCTGGCCCTTTCCCTACGGACCGGCAAATGATTTTGAATACGGGTTGGTTTACCCTTGTCATCTGTACATCGTTTCCAGATGGTTTCGTTGTGGCACAACCCTTAACAAATTGGTAGCGGTTTTTTTTTTCAGTCTAATTTTAGGTAAAATGGCGGTTTTTTGATTCTGGCCCTTTCCCTATGGACCGGCAAATGATTTTGAATACGGGTTGGTTTACCCTTGTCATCTATACATCGTTTCCAGATGGTCCCGTTGTGGCACAACCCTTAAGAAATTGGTGGCGATTTTTTTTCAATGTAATTTTAGGTAAAATGGCGGTTTTTTGATCTGGCCCTTTCCCTACGGACCGGCAAATGATTTTGAATACGGAGTGGTGTACCCTTGTCATCTGTACATCGTTTCCAGATGGTTTCGTTGTGGCACAGCCCTTAACAAATTGGTGGCGGTTTTTTTTCAGTCTAATTTTAGGTAAAATGGCGGTTTTTTGAATCTGGCCCTTTCCCTACGGACCAGCAAATGATTTTGAATACGGGTTGGTTTACCCTTGTCACTTATACATCGTTTCCAGATGGTTTCGTTGTGGCACAACCCTTAACAAATTGGTGGCGGTTTTTTTTCAGTCTAATTTTAGGTAAAATGGCGGTTTTTTGATTCTGGCCCTTTTCCTACGGACCAGCAAATGATTTTGAATACGGGTTGGTTTACCCTTGTCATCTATATATCGTTTCCAGATGGTTTCGTTGTGGCACAACCCTTAAAAAATTGGTGACGGTTTTTTTTCAGTCTAATTTTAGGTAAAATGGCGGTTTTTTGATTCTGGCCCTTTCCCTACGGACCGGCAAATGATTTTGAATACGGAGTGGTATACCCTTGTCATCTGTACATCGTTTCCAGATGGTCTCGTTGTGGCACAACTCTTAATAAATTAATAGCAATTTTTTTTCTGTCTAATTTTAGGTAAAATACCGGTTAAATTAATATCATTCATATATAATTGTTCATTATACGAGCATATAAATATAAACTCGACATATTGTAAATATTTAATAATATAATAACAAC